CCAGGAAGAGCGTGCACAGTTCCTGCCTTCTGTTTGGGTATGCACTATGCAAAGAGACTTTAAGCAGTCATTAACTACATCTACTTGCTTTCATGTACTTCAGTGAAGAAGAGCCACATATAAAGAGAAAGCTTCTATTCCTCCAAAATAAATAATGGAGAACAAAGAATACAAGGGAACAGTAAACGTTACATGAAGTTTCACTATACAAAGGTATACATGTGCATCATACACACACATTTACACTTTAAAAAACGTACAGTTTATTATGCAAGTTAATTTTTATTTGCACTTGTGGCAATTGGGTATTGTTTGATAGTTTTTTGTACATTATGCTCTTGCTAATAGTTCTATATTAATCTAATTTTCAAGAAACTTCTGGAAAGGTATACTTCAGTAAATGTATTGTGTTTTTTAACAAAGGGGTCGATGCTTAAGAGTCTGATTTTTATCTGTGTGCATTTCACGGCTATTTGTTTCTCAGGTAGCCAACAGCTTTTAGACTTTGGTTGGCACCTCAGAATGCACGCAAAGAATATCCTATGTCGCCAACTGTGATGTGGTTTATTTAATACAAAGACCTGGTGTATATTACAAAGTTTCACCAAAATAGCTATGTCAGCATACCTCCCCAGCCAACATCTCCAAGCCAGCAAAACCTCTAATGCGGACACAGTCTGCTAGCAAAAAAAAAAAAAAAAAGAACTTCTGTCAGCTTAGTTCATGTTGTTTTATAAGTTGATGTAATTTTGCTGGCAAGAAAGCTATGTGAACATCTATAGTAGATGACTGCTCAGACATTAATTTCAGAAACAGCTGTACTAACCAAAAAATTGCACCAATGTTTGTGTCTCAGAGGTTATTCCCCTTCCAGCAAAGCCAGTGGAATGGGACATACCAACACTGCTCATCCACATCAGTACAAAGTCAGATTACACTTAAACAGTTTGCAACAGTGATTTGGGAAAAGCTGGAGTGGCTAGTTTGCAAACAGCTGAAGCCACGTCAGAAGTCACCACACTACAGCGGCTTGTTTCAACTTCTTTACTGAGGTTAGTATGGCCCCTCCCAAGAAGACAGTGGAACAAAATACATATGGACACCATCATCAGTTTGTCTCAGGTAGCTTAAACTGCTGATGAAAATGAGGTTTCCTCATACAGCTGACTTTGCACATAAATGGATTAGGAAACAAATTCACATTTGTGGAAACGGTGGTAATGTTTAAAGAACACAAAACCAGCTAGTCTTTAAGACCTTCAGTTACTCAAGACAGATTTGGAAGATGATTTTTGGCCAAATTCTGTGGGATAAATAAGTCCTAAAATAGTCATGTAAAGTAAACTGGGACCTGATCTGCTCTGGTGCTTCAGAATAAAAGTCCAGAATTGCAAAAAGAAAAAAAGAAATTGCTTAATACAGTATGATCTTATTGGCAAGAATTGTTCTGGAATAGTTATGTCAGTCTGGCTCCCTGTATGAACACTGCTGACAATACCAGAATAATTACCCAGCTAACAAGACTAAAATACACAGGAGTAGCTACAGAGGAAGAAATACTCTGGAATAGCTCTGCAAACTTTAGCAGTAGGGTAGCATAGCGGTGAGAATCATACCAGCATGAAAAGTACTTTTTTCTAGCATAACTAATTCAACTTGCAGAAAGATACAGTAAGATACGTTTTTTTGTTAATAAAAACTACAGGTACATGGAGAGGGTTTTCTGATGTCGATTTTGCCAGGAAACAAAGCTAATAGTTTAATTACAATCAGATTTGATATTTTGGGAGAGTCTTCCAGTTTGAATTTCCTGTATCCAGTACAGAGGGTGTATGATTTACTCAAGCTCAGCGGGGCAATTTGAAACAGAGCCTAATTATTCCGACATCCTGCTACTGGTGCTAGTGTAAAATATACCAGTTGTCACCTAATAAGTGTATATATATATAAAAAAATAAATAAAAGTGCAGCGTCCTGTATTTCTTAACACATCTTGAACACATATTGTTGGTCGTACTTGTTGCTCAGTGCTTTATATTTCACCTTTTCCCCTCTCTGCAGAAGATAAGGCCTACATGACTTGTTCTGCGTGTTTTTGAATTGCAGGATCCTCTATGTCCCCTAGTGAGTACAAGTAACATTCACGATCAGTATTCCCCGTTTCCATCACGTGTTTTCTTTTTTCCTGGAGAGTCATCCTTGATGCTTTTAACCTTTGTGGGAGAACGAGCAGGGATGAGAGGCAAATTGTTGTTCTAGGAAGTGTTAAAGTTGACCAGTCTAAAAACAATCATTTGAGATGTGGTCCTGCCATTCAGCACGTAGGTGATGGCAAAAACAGCTAGCGAAGCAGAAAGAGAAGTACTTCTCTTCCGTGTCCCTTTTTGTTTCGCTGCACAGGGAAAAGCCCAGGAGTGGGTGCTAGCATGCAGACCAATGAGAGCCTTTATTCTTTAGGTGGGCAGAAATAGGCAAACATCTCCATCCGTTAGCTGACAGACTGTGAAGTGAAGATGTAGTCTGACAGAGATAAAACTGCACATTTTTTTCTAATGTCGATACCTGGGAAGAGTGGTAGACATAGTATTGCTTTCCTTCTTGTTTTGGTTTTATGGTTTTCATGAGGAAGATCTGAAATATTGGACTTAGTGCAGCAAGGTATTAAAAACTTAAAAGGTGTGATTATAGAACTTACTCAAAAAGGATGAAAAAGAAAACTTTGTATGGTAAAACCAACCTACATTGAAGTACTCAAAATGCATGCATCCTTTTCAGGATATTTGTTGACTGATTTATAAAAGGTATGTATTTTGCTTTCTTGTGAATTCTTGATTGCATCGACTATGAGACTGTATGCTAGACTTCTTTGTGATGTAAGATTTTACAACACATCCCTAAATTAGCCATGGTTAGGAGGAAATCCCCTCAAAATTCAGATCACGTGAAGAAGCAAAGACCACTGAAGAAAATCTTTTTTAAAAAGTGCCACAACCTCTAATAATTACAAAATCAAGACAAATGACAAAGTCTCATTTTTTTAATGTAACAAAGTTTCTGAAAAGATCCGAAGTTAGCTTTATTAGGGCTTGAACTCTTGGTTCTCCAAGCACCGACTATCTTATTTTAGATCTCCTTGGAACAGTTCCAGTTGCTTTCATCCCTCAAACTGCTTGCAGCCATCTGCTACCTGGATGCTACTGTCCAAGAGGGCTCAGCTGGCAGAAAGGAACATCTGTACGCTTCATGCATGGTCTAGGTTCACACAAAGTTAGCCAACTTCAGTAGACCAGCTTCATCAATACTACAGGCTGAGATGGCTGCCCCTGCCACACTTTCCGCTTCAGACTGTTAACTGTCTGTCAGCAGAATCCAAAACTGCAATCCCCAGCAAGAACTGAGAAGTATTTGGGAAACTTGTGAATTCTTAGATCAGGAAATTAGAAGATATTTTTGAATATAGAAAAGCATAAACGATGATTTTAAAGGCCATCCATGTCAAATTATTAACCAATTCCGGAAATTCAGAACAAAAATGTTTACAACAGGTTTTGTCTCAGTTTAAGTACCAACTGAGGGATTTCTCTAAAATTAGAGCTTACTTAGGGCTTCTGCTAAAGAGAAACCTAACAAGACAGAAATTTGCTGTTATCTTACGGTAGATCTATGAACACAGAACGCTTGAAAGGCCTGGTAGAGAAGCTTCCCGACTTCTGCAGTTCTGGTATTTTAAGTATCTGTTAGGAGCACTAGGAAGACTACTTTGAATGTTCACATGCACACAAGCACACTATGGAGTAAGACAGAGTCCATAAAGTGAAATTCAGTTTTAATCTGTTTACTTAAGTTTTCCTTTTGCCAAAAAAATAACTTTGACAGAGCAATAGATAGGGAAAGGAAAAGAGTAAGATCAGTAGAAGGTTCCTGCATATTTAATGATGCGAAAAAATGTATTTAATGTGTTTTGCGGCATATTTGGTCACTATGGCTTGTATCTTAGCCTGAATATTGTCTACATTTTGGGACAATCAGGATGCAACTATTTAGAATGGTGTTCCTCTAACAAACTTAATTAATTTGACAGATGGGCTGAAGGATTGCCTGTCCTTATCTTCATAAAGAATCTAGAATAAACAAGTCATAAAGCTGAAGATCATGGTAATTCCTAAAATGTATTCTAAATTCTATTACACAACCACAGTAAAAACTGCACTTTTATGCATGTAAAAGCAGTCTGCTCACTACTCCATCTTCAGTAGAACTCCTGGTAATGTTTAAAACCTGCCACATTTCAAATAAATCAAAACTCAGAACCCTAAATGAAATAATAGTGTTTTCTATGTATACAAATAATCTGATGGGTGAGTGAAATTTCAAATTTCAAGATACAACTGCAGTAATCAAACCACCACAATTTATACTTATATTGAAAATAAAATCAGCAAAAGTATTTAAAAGCAGAGATTGTGCTGTAATATACCTGACCCTGACCACAAAGCCAAGCATACAGTGACAGGAGACTTCCTTCCCTTTATTTAGATAAGTAAGAAACAGCAGAGCTTTACTCATGGAGTTTTGCCAGGTTACTCCTGATGTTGGACTTCCTTTCCTACACACTGCCTATTGTTAATATTACAAAGTCACAGTATAGGAAACAGGCATTCTTATAAAAACTGGAACTGAAACAAAATCACCAGTTATACCTTTGAGTCTATACATGGATACATTTCAGAAAGCACTAAATTTAAAACAGGTCTAATACATTTAATGTTAAATTCAAAATACAACGTTAAGACAAAATCTTAGTTCAGTGGGCTTTCTGTTAAATGGGAATTGTAGGCCTAATCCAAAGTCCAGATACTGATTTTATTTATATATGTGTATACCTAAACTAACTCCATAGCTGTTTAAATGAAAATGGTTTTCCTCATATAATTCAAGGAACATCTAATTAATTAGCCAGTTAAAAGGTCAAAAAATATTTAGTCTAGTACATTAAAAGCTTGCAAGAAAGCGTGGCAGGGACAAGCAAAAGTACAAGAAAATAAAGCTTGTAGAGAGTCTACATACGTTTTGGAGATGGGGAATTGATTAAACTTGGACCAGAAACTTGAACAACAGATTTTACAAAACAGACAGTGATCGTACAGAGTTCATTCAAAAGGATTTAAAAAGAAAACAGGAGGAAGAAAAGCATTGCTTCTTGAGTTTACTCAATGCTTAAAAGAATGTAAACATTTTACACCACCAAACAAATTACGTCATCCTGAGTTATAAGAATTGGGTTTTATTATGTTCTTTCCTAAGTGGCCTAACAAATTAATTAGCAGATTCAAGAAACAATGCTTTACAATGGTTGAAAACTGGAAGTTTTATTAGTTTCAGTTAAAAATTGATCACTAATTTGGACAATATAAGGTGAAATACATTCCAGGCTAAGTCTTGAGTCTATGAACAATTCTTACCAGAAGACAAACACCGAAAATGATTGTATAGCTAAACTTTCCCTTTGTAGATTATAAAAAACAAACTTTCTGCCCTCTGCTGTTTAGACCGGGAAAAAATAAACTGGGACGCAAATCTGTTGAGAAGCATATAGCTAAGGGCTGAGCCTAACTCTGCTTTTAAAAAAATAATCTAGTTTATGCTTAAATTAGTTGGATTTTTAGTTGTTCTATGCACTTGGACTCTGCACTGGCACAGAGTTCGCCTGAATTTAGTGGTCTATCAAAAAGGTGCTAGGGAGCCATTCACAAGTTGCTTACTTCCTAAAACCAGAAGTTACTTGTCATACACAGGAAGGGCAGTTCTGCAAAACAAAGTTAAATTTTCTGTAAAACAAAACATACAGAAGTTCTACACTGAGGATAATAGATTATGTTCCATGCTTAATAGATTTCTAAAGATGAAATAGTAATATGCTCAACTTCCTTACAGATTATTCAGGACTTAACTGATGTTTGTAAATTGCTTCAAGATTAAAATGCTGCACTGCCTACAAATCAGTTACTTAACTTTTTAAGAAGTTGAAAGTCACCTTTTTCTGTTATAAAATCAACAATCAGTTCTTCCAGACTTGCAAAAAAAAAAAAAGTAGAGAAATGGCCTCAAATTTAACTTTGCTTTTAGTGGCGAGATACCAGAGCAAATTTTAAAAAGCCTGTTAAAAATAAAATGGGTTAAAAGTAGCAATGTTACACATTTCTTTTTTTTTTTTTTAATACCTTGTGATTAATGCTTTGTACTCTCCATGTCTGGTTCAAGGGTTTCTATAAAGAAATTGCAAATTCATGAGAGGAAACAAGTTATATTAAATATAGCTTTATATCACCTTTAATTTTGGATAGTTTACATTAAAACTGAAAAATCCAGATCCATGAGTGAATTCTTACTTTACCACTATCTTTGGGTTACTGAAGTAGATGCTTTTTGACTCTCCAGCTTCAAGTGCCCTACAAAACAGCAGCTATACAAGTACCGTAATTCCAACATTGGTAACTCAAATCGGTATGATTACATCAACAGCAGTAAGTGTCATTTGCTGTGCGTTCGCACTAATCGTCATGTTTTAGATAGAATTCTGCTCTGTCCGCACATTAGTACTTCTGTCATTGCAGCTGCAAAGCCCTTGGTAGTTGCCGTGTGTGCTATGAAGACAGGGAAAGAGGGAATTTGCAGAGCTGTAGAAAGACCCATTCCAACCTCACATAAAGGCAAATCTACCTTTCTAATAATTAAGCTAAAATCCCTAGCTGCTGAGAAGCTGCTTTTCCAGGCTCAGTACTTCTCTCCAGAACAAACTGAAAGGTACAATTCAAAAGCAACGTGCTTGGTGTAAAGGGTATTTCTCCTTACTTTTCTTCTTGAGTCTGTTCATGGATCATTGCCAGTTTGAGTTTCTCTAAATTTCACCCAGCTTCAAAGTTTAACCTTGACCATCCTCAATTCAGGTGATTTTTTGTTAGAGAAAACAAGACCATTCAGTGTCACAGTTTTTACTTCTACACTATTGTAATAAGCTTCAAAAAAAAGGGAATATGCAGGCTTTCCAATGACATTCTGTATTCACAAAACCTGCTTTGAACTATTTTACTCATGGCAACTGAGGAAAACCCTCCCCTTCTCTTCTAGCACATGCTTCAGGACATGACATACATGTAAATTGCCAGCATTTACCATGGTGCCAACTAGCTCTACAGCAGCTAGTTTTCTTTTTTAAAAAAGTTTAAGAGACAGAAAGGTAAATATGTTCAGATTCATAGGGCAGTAGTGAGATGAGACACGAAAAGCTTCTAGGACTTATATCTAAAATGTCTATTTTGCTGCCATGAGTTCTAGACTATGGCTATAGTGAGGAGAGACGGAATAAAGAGAAAACACTGGCCTACATAGAGGCTGTTCTTGTATTTCACCTGAAAATGTAAGCCAGTTACATAAAAAAATACTAATCAGAAATCCCATGTAGTAACATTTGATGACATTTAATTACCACATACTGTATGTGAAGAAAATTCTATGATTCTATGAAAAAAGTCACCACATATGGATGGTAAATGAAACACATTGCTGATTAATATATGGGAGAGGAAATTAAGTTTGTTCACACCATTGCCACACTATATAAAGCAATTAGAGAATAAGCAACTCCATATTCTAGAAAACTGACTTTTTTAAAGTGGTAGTGTTATTGATTAAAGCACTTCTGCCATGCAGGTTTCATCTGAAATAGTACCTCTCAAAGGTACAAAAAGTTCAAAACAGTAAGAAAATAATGCATTTGTAAATGTAGGAACCCAATTAATACATAAATTTATGGCTTTGCTATGAAAGACAGTAGATATACAGTTATTGACAGAATCTGTATGTTAAGGTTCTCTCTTGTCTATTTGTCCTCCCCAATATACTTTAAGGGCTTTATGATGCACCCTCACTAGTGACAGTAAAACATTAATTAGTAAAACTAGTTAACCTTAGTCACAAAAGCTACAAAATATTGCATTAGAATACAATTGAAAAGTGACTTTTGACATAACCTTTGTTAGACATTTTTCTTAAAAATGGAAAAGCATCATTTATGTTGCAATACTTAGCTAGTCTTTCCTTTATGAGCACGCTATCCAAATGGGGGAACAAAAATTGTTGCGTCACAGCATGAAGATCAGATTTAGCAGAAGTTAACGCTATTCTTAACCTACCTCCTAGCCCATGGTTTTATTTTTGCAATTTTTCAGATCACTTCTACATCTAGAAATAACCAGTATGCTAACTTATGTTTAGGCCACTGGTTTTCTATGGTAACTGCTACCTGCAGAAAGCATGAGACTGCCTAGTAGGGGTTATAGCTAGCTTTGTTAAAATGGAAGCATTAGCTTGATTATGCTTTCTTTCATTATATAAGGGTAGAAAAGCAGTGTAACACCCAGCCTCTGAGTTGACTGAATCTTTTGGAGGAAGAGGGCAGCAGTCCCACAGGTACTCTTACGCATACATGAGTCTAGATGGAAGAAACATTCCTGTAAAGTATCATTCCCACCAGTACAGTTTTTTTGGGTTTTTTTTTTTTTAATTTCAAAAGAGAAGCAAAACCCAGGGAAAAAACCTACTTGATAAATGTAAAAATAAATGTGCAGCTTCATACAATATTGTGACAGCTCTACTTAATGTAGGAAAATTCTTCAAGTAGTACTATACTAATTTAGAGCTAAAGAAATTCTCAGCATAGCATGCTGAATTTCTACATTTGCAAGTAAAGCAAAACCAATTACCTATCTCATATCAGGCAGGTGTGTAAAGTTAGCACCTACAGACATTCAGCCTATAATTACTGGCTCAAGATCCTGGCACAGGAAAGCATTTCATCTGATCCAGATGTTTTTTTTTTCCCCTCAAAATGTATTTGTGAACATTGGTTTTAGTTGTTTCACAAACTGCTTAGTAAGACAATGGCCACGAATCAATACTATTTCATGTTGCGCACTATTCTCCTGCAATGGTTTGTTTTCATTTCCCCCAATGCTTGTTCCAGTTGCTGAATTAGGTGGAGGAGGGTAGAAGGGTCGGTTTGCAACACTTGGGCAGTTTGATCTTCATTCTGATTAAGATGTAGCTTTATAGTCACGGCAGGCTTAATCTGTTGTCTCAAACTTCTGCTTGCAAGCTGCATGAGTGAGTTTAGATGAAATGGGAATAGGGAAACAAAGAAAAAGATGGTTATCAACTTTCATATTTACAATTCACAACAAGTTTGCAGGACCTGCTTGCAGGGCTGTTTAAAAATCCTTTTCATCCGCATTAAAGATATACACAATCTATGATTTAGTTTTATCATGAGGCAATACTAATCCACTTTAATCAATGCTTTCATAATATTTCTGAAAATTAGGTGATAATTAAGACTGAATATATTTAATATATGCTAACATTTTTAACACACCAATGGAGCTATGAATTCAATTTTCATAAAGCAACAAACACTGTGCATCATTACATATCCTGTTCATCTCATAACGAGCTATCTTTGGTGCAATAACAAAATTATGTCAGTTTTAAACACATGAAAAACTGCTGCCTCAATTACTTTGAAATAATATAAATTCATTGTTTAGTAGTTGTTTATGATGTTAAAAAAATGTAAGGTAAAATACAGAATACTGAAAACATAACAGAAGTTACCTGCACATCCAGTCTCCATTCAAGACTGTGATAGCTGGGAAGCTTTGGTGCCAGCTCACTCAGAATGCTTCTGATCTCTTTCCTGTTATCAAGGTACAGCTGGAGCAATAATTTGTTCAATTCATCTGAGAATCCCAGAACATGAATGGAATCTTGGAAGTCTATCTCAGAAATCTAGACATAACAATTTAGGCCTTAATACGGAACTGTGTAATAAAAATTATTTGTTGAGAAACAAATAAAACTGTAAGTAAACATTACGTGTAGTATGGTGCAGTTATTCTCCTGCAGAAATGTGTGAGGACAATTCTACAGCTAGGACAAAACAAATCATCCAGGTTTTAAGTGATTTACACATGTTGATGTATTACTGCTGATTTGCATGAGCTTCAGGAACAGTTTAAATCAGTTTTTTAAAAAAGAAAAACATTCAACATCCTCACATTTAAGCCTTCCTATCAGACAACAAAACGCAACACCAAAAAGCATCTGAGCTTTGTCAGGAGGAAGTACATATTTCAATCATCAATTTATCAACAGTATGTTAACACAATATTGATACTCAAATTATAAATACTCTGAAATGATCTGCATGTCTGCACATGTGAGCGAGCACCAGGTACAACTTTAAGGCTCACGTTACAGTAACTCAGAGTGGCCCCAAGAAGCCGATTCCCACAGGTCAATGCCTTTGTGCTGAACTGGAGAAGCTTGGTTCATCATTGTGGAAACAGTTATTTATTCTACAAAAAATGTCATACCTTTACAATGCATACCGTAAACACGTTATGTGATCAACTATGTTCTACCATAATACACTATAATTTATCTGTCAGTCAAGTCACCTTACTTCAAGAGAAGATTCTGCAATATTTCAATCCCTTCCCCACCTGCTCTTCAGAACAATGCCTGCTTGAGTTTAATTTGGAATTACTTGTCTCTGTATCCCTTCTCCATGTCTTCATTGTTCAAATATTCTACTATATCAACACTAAAAAGTCTTTCCAATGGAAACAGTAATTATCCAACTATTATTCTTTTAACATATGCTTACACCCACCCAAACTTCTGATGTCAGGAGCTGAAAAAGCTCTCAAACCTACCATATCAGACAAACATAAGGAATACTTAACCGGGGGTTAGTACAGCACACATCCTGTACAGTAGCTGAACGACAACAACAGCAACCACCTTCACTCAAGTTTTGTTATTTAGACCGAGTTTAATCCTGAAGTACGCTTCTCTATACAGACTAAATCACTGCATGTTCTTGCTATACACTATTAAAATGTTGTCAAGTTTTAGCTTCAGACACTGAATACAAATTCCGGTCATCCACGCAGACAGAGTGTTTCAATAAGAGAACAGCGTAAGAGACACCTTTTTTTTTTGTTTAAATTAAAAGAATACATGTCATCAGAATTTTGAACCAGGTTTTCTCCATTCACCAGTATTTCCAGAGCTATAAGTGTTTAGAAGACATCTCTGGAGTGTATCCCTGAATTCATTTCACAAAGGTATCCTTACCATAAGCTTGGAGCTTTCAGTAAGAAGATACGTTAGTCCTTCTACCCCATGCTGAATGGTGTCAACACCGATGTTAAGTTTTCCTTTAAAGAAAGCACAAAGTACCTTTTACTTCCTTATTAAGCTGCCACAGCAACAATACACAAAACAGCAAATTTATCCAAAGCTAACTTGTGAAATATGCAAAGAAAAGAAAAAAAAAAAGTAGAGGGTTGCGCACCCTTCAAATAATGCAATGTAAGAGGATCAAACAGCAAGTTAGATCCCCCACTCAAAACAAACCAAAAACCCCCAAGAAAAATCCAAACCAATTTCTTATGGCATGACATACAGAAAACTGCACGCTCACGTACTAGAACCAAGTCGTGCGTACAGTGGTACAGAAATGAGCCACTTGCAGACTTTTGTCTCCGGAAAGAAGGGCCCTGCAGCCACCCCCCATTAGGCACAGAGCACAACCTGACACTCGTTCCTGACACAGCAGTGTCTGACTACAAACACCGCTCGTGAGCGCTCCGTGCTGCCAGTCCGCTCCCTCGGCAGCCCCGCACCGTTAACGCTGTGCGCCGGGGCTCCGGGGGGCC